TTTAGGATTTGCTGACGCCGGCGGGGCAGTGCGTGGGTATGTGTCTGGGGAATTGTCAAATCATTTTGGCTTCCCTGTTTCGATAGCGTGTTGTATAAAGCGTTAATGTCTTAACGTCGACGTGGCTCAGGTGAATAGACCCCAAAAGGAATTGAAAATTGTTTCAATTGCAGGTAGGCAGCGGAGCCCACGGCAAATGGCGGAGGAAGGACAACGTCTGGAGTAGCTGGATTGAGGGCTACGGTGACCAAGTTGTAGTTATGTAAGACTTCGAGGTCATTAGTCGGCAATAGGGATGGTACCGAAGTAAAATTCTGGCTTAGATTTAAGCTTCCATTGCGGACGTGCATAACGCAATCGTGGTCGGAAAGAAAATCAAGTCCAAGGAAGAAGGGACTGGGAAATTCTGCGTCACGATGAAGTTCTCGAGGGTATTGGAAGTGTGAATGACTACGCAAACTGATAAAGAGACGGGATACGGCATATGCGTAAACATAATCAGACAAAGGGGACTTACAGGAAGGATTGTGTCCGCCGTGGCCGGCCCCACCCAGTACGGGGCCGTGACATGACATTCGCGCAAACATTTTCGGCTGACGGTGAAAACCAGTTGTTTCGTATTTGCACTGGTGAAGTAGTTTGCATTATATTCCGTAAAGTTTTCAGCTTTCGACATCGGTGCTTTCTCATATATATTATCTCTGGCTTGTCTTTTGGATATGTGGCCAAAGTTTTTTGCAGTTAAATTTAGCTGTTGTCCAGAAATTCCCTAATAGTGTAAGTTACATTATTTAGGCTGTTCTGCAGTATCCTAATTCGTTGTTTGAGTTCACCACACCCAGAAAGTTGAAGAAAAGCGACTAAGTATATTTAACTATTAATAGAGTTAAGTGCCTGATGTTAACACATTGGTCCTACCCACTGCTGCATCTCCAGAAATCCATTATGATCCTTCTCCTTCTATTGTAAAAACCGTAACCGTCCAATATGCCTTACATCTTTCTCTGCACAACAATACGCTGGCTGGCCGTATACATGACTTAGTATTAAAAAGCATACTGGTCTTTGAAAAACCTCCCACCTTGCATTACAGACAAACATTTGTTTAAATTACCAAGCTATGTGCCGGTCTGTCTGAGCTAGAGGTCGATTGCTTTGGCGGTTGGGATGTACATAAAAAAAGTAATAATTCAAGGTTTCCGGAGTTACCGAGATCAAACATGCCCGGAAGAATTCAGCCCTCATCACAATATTATTGGTTCGTTTTTCTTACTCTAAACATTTGTTTAGTTGGTAGAAATGGCTCCGGAAAATCGAATTTTTTCCAAGCGATTCAATTTGTCCTGTCAGACGAGTACAGCCATCTCAGTAACCAAGAGCGGCAAAATTTGCTTCATGAGGGTACGGGCCCTAGGGTTATTTCGGCATACGTGGAAATGATTTTTGATAACAGTGACAACCGGATTCCGGTAAGACTGTGTTATTTTACATTTTTTCCAGTTTGATAAAAATGAAGTTTCGTTACGCCGCATCATTGGAAGCAAGAAGGACCAATACTTTCTCGACAAAAAGATGGTCACGTAGGTTGCCTTCACACTCTTACTTATCTTTATTAGTAAGGCGGATGTCATGAATATGTTGGAGAGCGCCGGCTTCTCTCGCAGCAATCCCTATTACATCGTAAAACAAGGAAAGGTAGATTACTCGACAAGTTTCTTTAAACTTAATTACTAAGAAGGGCTTTTATTGGTTAGATGTCCGTTCTATCGATTTTATTAGTCAGCTCTGTTATCAGAATTTGGATCCGCACTCCTAGTTGACCGTATAATATGCAGTTGTGTTTCCTGTGCCCTTTGGGAACTTGGGTTACTCTTTCGGTTGATGATACCCAAAGTGTAGCTGCGACATTTTAGGTCTTGTTTTCATTTTGTTGCGGAACCTACCATCTATCACATAGTTCTGTAAACATGTCTGACTATTACAAGTCACTCCTGCGTTAGCCACGCCCCTACACAATTTACTGTCAGTCAACACAATACGTTAGATGATAGATTGCCTCACCTTGTCTTCCCACCCGTAATCCGTGATTTCCATTTTCATTCTATATTTTACTGTTTTTCCTTATAGATTACACAGTTGGCCACTTCTCCTGACAGCCAACGTCTAAAACTCCTACGTGAAGTCGCCGGAACTCGAGTCTATGATGAACGCAAAGAAGAAAGCAAGCAGATCTTTCGCGAATCAGGTTTAACTACATCGACTGCCTTAAGTTTTAAAGCTCAGTCCTTTGATTCAAGTCGAATATCCCATGTTGTTTTAGTGTTAGTCTTATCTGATGTTACCATAAACCAGGTTTGTCATGTTATTGTTTCCTATTTCCAGAAGCTAAACGCGAACAGATTTCCGAGTTGCTTAACAGTATCGAAGAACGTCTTCGAACACTAGAGAACGAGACCAAAGAACTGAAGGAATATCAAAAATGGGATCGAGATCGACGAGCACTTGAATATACAATTTATGATAGAGAATTGAAGGAAACAAGAAAAAAACTAGAAGAACTGCAGGCAAGAAGAGAACAAAGCAGCGAGAGTACAGCTGAAACACGCCGAGCCGCAAAGGAAACTGCAGATCAGATTGAGGTGAGTTTCTGATTTCTTGTTCATACATATTTTCTAACTCCATGTCGGGATTTTATTGCGTGCATAAATATTTCTCACGATTAAATGCAATCTCCCGTTCAGTTGGCATCGGCCTGCATTAGACCACTATCAATCATTTACTTGGTACCGTATTTCCCGGACTATAGGGCGCAATTAAAATGCTTTTATTTTCTTAAAAAGTCGGTGAATTCTGGTTACTGACCTCAAAGCGATTTTTTTTGTACGCGGCGCTGCGTTAATCCGTGGTCAGGAACTTCGCGAAATAATGTATATTGTGCGGCACCATAATATTACAGTGTATGACACCTGTCAAGAGACATGCTTACAACGCGGACTTGGAACTCAAGGCTATCAATCACGCAACAGAACGTGGGAATAGAGCAGCTGTGAGAAAATTCAAAATTAATGAATCAATGGTACGGAAGTGCAGGAAGCAAGATGACCTGCGCTAAGCAAAGAAGACCAAACAGAGTTTCCGAAGGAACAATGTGAGATGGCCACAGTTAGCGGACAAAATTGAACAGTGAGTTATTGAGCAGAGAGCAGCAGGTAGAAGTGTCTCTACAGTCTCTATTCAAATGGCGACGACAACGTTAGCACGGGACATGAATGGTAATTATTTTCAAGGCTTGGTGCTTTCGTAAGACACAAGGGCGGCAACTTTCTGCGCATACTGCTAAAACAAGATCATAAAATAAGTCGGGTTTGACTAGCGGACAAACTTATCTGACTGTCTTGTTTCCTTTAAAGCGCCTTATATTGAGGTGCGTTTTGTATGCTTAATAGTGCTAAAATAAACATGAACTGACAGTGCGTCTTATCATCCAGTGCGCCCTACAACGTGGAAAATACGGTGGGTCCTTTTCAGGACTAAGGGTCAGACTTAATGACTCCTTAATGTGGCCCCTACGGCATTCCTACGTATGCGAGATCCGGTACTCCCTTGGGGCAAGTCGTGTCTTTGGGACACATAGACGGGCTGTTTAGTATCCGGCCCCATGTCTGCTGACGTCCTTTCAAGACACGTGTCTACAGATTTATGTAATTGGAAAAAGCAACATGATGCCCTCTTCGATAACATTTTGGTGATGATCCCGGTGAGTTTTTTTCGCTGTCTGTTCTTTTTCGACCATGTTCTACCTCATTGGCTCATGTCAATCGGCCTCGCTAAAATAGGGAATTCAAAGGTAACCCACCCATATCTCTCTCAAATATAGTGATGAGGGCCCGAAAATTGGGCTTAAATGCATACAATAAATCAATACTTTATCCCCTATTGATGTAGCAAGGCAGCAAGCATTTTCTCTAAGACAGTGCATCTGCGGCTGCAAGTTTTGGCAAATGGAGTGAACATTGTTGGAAAGCCTGGATTTTTTAATATTCCGATAGTGTTATGGTCCGGTTTTGTTTATGGGATGCATACGAAGCGTATGCTTGTTCGACTGTTCTTCCGAACGCCAATATGACAGAATAAGAACACGAGGGGCTAGGAGG